CCATGTGCTGTAGTGCCCAGGGCTGTGCGAGAAAAAAAAGGAAGGTTGGTGGGGAAGGGGGGGGGGGCTCTGGTGGCAAACTGCTCAGATGTCAACCTATCCTAGTATTTAACTATATGATTTGCTGTGAAACAGACTTAAGAAAGGACTCGATCAAGTTCGATCAAATTTGTTTAAATTTCCCATTTGCACCCGGTGCGGGCCACATATCCCGCACCCCTAGTGACGCTACTGTTGTCAGGTGTCCGTCCGTTCAGTGCCAATGTAAACTAAATAACTCTTTTGGGGCCCAACGTCAAGGGATGAACAAATTTTTAGAGGGACTTGATTTGATTTTGAACGTACTTTTAATCATGCAATTATTATCTAATGCATTTATTCTGTACAGTTACAAATTATAATGTTAAACCAATTGAATCTGTTGTTTTAAAATGACTCGTTAATAAACAATACATAACAAAAGGACGATACCATTGATTAAATATAATTTTTTTTTTAAAAGATACCCCAACTAGTGCTAATTGCAAGTAACAATTTATGTATACTAACAATTCTGATATATTGGTACAAAATAAAATTATAGAAATAAAAACTCAATTAACTTAAAGCACAGCAAGTGAAAAGGTATTTTACTAGAAAGGTACAAATATTAATACTCACAGTAAAATACGAGTAGGCCTATTGCAACTCTTATCTCTCGTATCTTATATGTGCTTGTACGTCTCTCAAGTCTACTTTATTTAAGTATAGGGGAGAAGTTTCTATTATCGAAACTTAAGTCTAGAATAGAAAGCGAGCATTATCCATCTCTTTTAGAATAGGGTCACCAAATCATGAACTGGAAAAAATGGGACACACCCAAGGAGGGTTGGGTGGGGGGATACCCTCCAGCTAAAGAGGGGTCCGAGGGCCTCCACCAGAAACTGTTTATTGAAATATGCTCATTTTAACTATTTTGAGACCTAGAAATCTTTTTAAATTTACCTTCACTTTTGTAATTTAATTTAAACTCTGCGGCATACAATAAACGAAAACAATAATTTTGCAGTGAATACTCATTTATTTATACATATTTTACAACATAATACAACACAACAAATTAGATGCAGGCATCACGCGAGCCAACATCACTACTGGCACTGGCTGCACAGCTTGCCAAAATATTACTTGAAGTTATATTATAAATTAGGAAGTTTTAGCGATTTGAAAATGTGTTAGGTTTTAGAAACGAGACATTTAGGCGTCCCGAGAGACTTTTTCGGGACACCGGGTACGATCGTGAAAAAACGTGACGTTTGGTCACCCAATTTTAGAACCTTCTATAATAGTTATTGGCAACTCGGATATCTCGATACATAACAACTTATAGAAGTGGCAAGAGAAGAAAAAGTAAGGGAGGCAACATAACCCGTATATAGCTTTTAAAGAGCTAGAGTGGTCAATTAAAGAAAACTTTTCTCCCTTACACTCTTAACTCCACCAACCCACCTCTTAACTCCACAACCCACGTCATAACTCCACCGACCCACCTCTTAACTCCCCCAACCCACCTCTTAACTCCCCCAACCCACCTCTTAACTCCACCGACCCACGTCTTAACTCCCCCAACCCACCTCTTAACTCCCCCAACCCACCTCTTAACTTCCCCAACCCACGTCTTAACTCCACCGACTCACCTCTTAACTCCCCCAACCCACGTCTTAACTCCCCCAACCCACGTCTTAACTCCACCGACCCACTTCTTGACTCCACAAAACCACCTCTTAATTCCACAAACCCACCTCTTGACTCAGTTTTATCAACCCTGTTGAATGACGTAGGCAAAGCGTTTGTTTGCGGCTGTCTTTTGTGGCGCCAATCGAATGACCAGAGAAACCCATGGGCCAAGATTATCCTGTGAAAAGTGCTGTCGAGACTGTCACTACAGGAGCGGTCTTACAAAGGAACTTGCCAGGATGCCTTTAAAAATAAACGTACGAATAGAAACATCTCCGTATGATGTTCATTATTTGGCCGACGATCTATTTAATACAATGACAAGTTTGATCTTATTTTATTTATTTTATTTATTTTTTTAAAGTATTATTTAAGTACCTGAAATGTGAGAACATATTTAAATTTCCCGTGACGTGGAGGGGTAGGGTCAGCTTCAAAATGCTTCGGGGGGGGGGGGGGTCAATAGCAAGAGCATCCGCGATGAGGAAAAAAGTTTTTGAGGACCTAAAGGCCTACGGCCTAGTTAGTGCTTTTTAAATTGCCCGGGGCGGGGGGGGGGAGGGGCAGGCTCAAAAGGGTTCGGGGGGGGGGGGTCAATAGCCAGAGCATCCGCGATTAGGAAAAAAGTTTTTGAAGCCCTAAAGGCCTACGGCCTAGTTAGTGCTTTGGTCATTTTTGAAAAGCTAACCTATGGCGAATATGTCCGAAATAAACCAAAGGAGAGCATTTAAATGACCCTCGACATCCTTGTTTGGGGAGCGCAATGGCTCCCACCTTTTGCTAAAATGTGACCAAGATGCACAGCTAAGCAAGAATCGTTATAAACCGATAATTACTTAAACCGGGTTGCATGATATAAAAAAAAAATAATAATATAAAAAAAAAAACTTTCTTTGAAATATCTCAACGCATTCAGCTGAATAACTAGGCACGTAAACCAATTTTAATAATTTAATTTAGAAGTTGCGACGAAAAAGAAAAAAGCGAAAGGGGGAGGGGGGCGGGGGTGGGGACTGACGGTTAATGAAATAGGGTATAGATACTCTAATGGGAAAATGAAATATAGTATAGATAGTCATTGGAAAATGAAATGTGGTATAGGTAGTCATTGGAAAAGAGTTAAATGAAGGCGTTTTCTTCGCTGGCAATAATCACAATTCTATCTAGGTCACTGTTGAGTTGACGTGGGAGTCCACTTGAAACGTCTTACATGTGGGTGTTACCCTTACTCGCATTGGAGCGCTGGTTCGGCTGAATGTGTGTGAGAGTTATACCCTGGGCGAGTCGGACTCACTTAATAACACAAATCAGAAGTCCATCAGCGGTTCTAAACATATTTTTCAGACTTGTTGTGGCGCGGATGGTGTATAATCTTTATATGCCGCAGTCGGCTAAAAATATAGGTCGACTTAGGCAATATATTTCTAACTCTGTGGCTAAGAATTTAAAAATGGCATAAGAACATACATTCTAACATTATTGGAGAGTTGTTTTAAAATATTTTGTTATGTTGTTTTATTTTTATCAGAGCCTAGACTGGAGAAAGAGCCATATACTTCATTAACACCAAAAGTTAACCACAAGCGTGGTAGGGTCCGCTCAATGGCACACACAAATCAGGTTTTGTTAAATAAGTCAATGAAGCCATCTGTGTGTTAAAAATACAATTATTTTGTGTCTTGGAGACCGAAGGAATCTCTTGCTAGAAATAATGCCTACTTTCAATTTCCTAAATATTATACTAATGTTGAAAAATAAAATATTTGAAATGCTAGTTACTCGTCATTTCGCAGTCATCGCAAACTGTTGGTTTTTTTTTTTTTTTTTTTTTTTTTTGGGGGGGGGGGGAGGGGTCTTGGGTGTATGAAATGATTTAAAGTAACTAAAATGGTTTTACAATGGGCCCCATATGCATATTTTCATAAATTAGTAATTTATCGTTATACTAGTTTGAAATCCCAATGAACCTTTCAATCTAAGTTATTATTTTATTTTTTTTATTTATTCTACTTCGACTTTCCTCATATAAATAATGTTAATAAATATATGACTTCATTTGTAAATGTCAATGTAAAACTTTGAATCGTAAAATTATAAATAAATATATTCCAGGGGCGATATTATGCCCAATTATGACGCAATAGATGCCCTTCCCTCTTTTCCAACACATGGGACCTCCCCTCCCCCCCCCCCCCCCCCCTATGTAAAACTTTGAATCGTAAAATTATAAATAAATATATTCCAGGGGCGATATTATGCCCAATTATGACGCAATAGATGCCCTTCCCTCTTTTCCAACACATGGGACCTCCCCTCCCCCCCCCCCACACACACACAATTCGATGAAATTGTCTGAAAGAAACTCATGAGCTAAACTGGGCCCGAAATGCTTTTCATAACATGACCTAAATAGGTTAGAGAGGAATTAGTGGGCTTCAGTGCATTCGGCCCCCTCGTTGCTGTTAAGACGCTCCTGGATGTTACACAATAAACTTATTTAAGAAGTAAGTTGCTCTCTAAAATATGTTTTCGTTCTGGATCCGTCCCCATCACCCCAAACACACACACACACAAAAACTAACCAAAAACGACCGATTTCGTGTCAAATGGCACCACCACTCTGCACTTGCACCCCGCGAAGTACATTTAAACATCGCTTTCTCGGGATTCTGGGAATTCCCATTTCAAATTAGATTTGGTGATGAGTTATTGTTGCATTCTTTTGGCCCGCGCAAGGCCTGTCCTATTTCCTTTTGGCTCGCACAAGTTTTTCAAAATGTATTACGGCCCGCCTTAGATTTTGAGTTGTGCAGGCCTGGCATTTCACGGGACGCCTCTTTTCCCCGGCGAGGCCCTGTTTGTAAGCCAAACAATAGATCGTGTCATGAGGGCGGTGGCAAGCCGAGCCCAAATTTAGGCACCCTGTCCCCCAAAAAAATCATTAAAACAGAAAACGAAATACAGCAATGCACGCAACTTGACCATTTCGACCCGTTTTAAAGATTGCGCCCGAGGTGGGTGCCCCCTTCACATGGCCTTGCTTACCATAAGATGCCTGTGATCATGGGGGTTTTATGGACATTTTTGGGGGTTTTGTGGAAAGAAAAAGTGTACGCCCCACACTATCTGGGAAGCACTGGCCGTTAATGCACACTGCACCCTATCGTGTGAGAAGAACGGGGCTCACAGTACACCGTGCTGCTATTTTTACCCCGCCACGTACATCGGTTGGCCTACATTCCACCACAAGCTGCAATCCAAACCTTCAAGACGTTACGGCTGGACTCGTCAGGATCTCAGGTCAGTGTTAACTAATGTCGAGTGGTCTAAAAGTCTTCAACAAGTTGATTTTTGTTGATGTAACATGTTCTTCTGTGCTATCACGAAAGTTGTTTCACTTTTAGATAGAGACGAGTAACTCTTTTTAACAGTTTTGTTAAAGTTCTAGCATCGGGCTGGGCCAGCATAAATTCTTGGTTCTACGATTGCCTGGCATTAGGTGAAGTTCCGGTAGGTGATGATGTGGCATATCATATAATGAATCACAAGCATGTACATTTATTTGGGCGGAGCCTTGTCTTAAATACAACGATTGTTTTACAAATAAAAAAAAAAGAATTAAAATTCCATGAAGATTTCTATTTATCGTATAAATTTTGGGCTCAGTCATGACTACTTTTTTAGGAAATTGCACAAAGTCTTAAAATGATAAATAAATTTGCATATTCCAACCCCCAACCCAATTTTTTTCTGCCTCTTCCGCCTCTTCCGAGTGTCACTCTTCCTTTTCGCATGCGTATTCTTAGAGATCTAGTCTTTAAGTGCTATCAATGAAATGACTTTCACGTATAAAGTATATTTTTAAAACGTAGAATAGAGATTTTTCCTTCATAAGGAAAATAGTTATGATCACTTGTTAACTAATTGTTAATAAAGAAGTGGGACGTTACTAAAATATTTGAATGGAAACCCATGTCAGGCAATTAATATCAACATTTTAATGAGTAATTTATTTTTTAAATACATCTTTTTTTCTCTCTAGATTTTGTATAAGATAGTCATCCATAATGAATATCTTCCTCCTTGTCCTGTCTCTGGTGGTGCTGTCAACATTTGCTGACAAGTGCACCGAGAAGTGTGACAAATGTGAAGAAGTTAATAGGCAAGAGTGCTTGGCTGGCTTGGAGATGGACCGGGAGTGCGGATGTTGTGAAATTTGCTCCAGGTTGGTCAGTTTATCTCAGTTAACTAGCAAGAATAACTATTACTGGCGCCCAGTGATGTCAGAAGTTGGGGGGAAGGGAGGGCAGTCTGCCCCAGGTGGCTTTTTCCTTATATGGAGGTGCAGCCAGTGGCATAGCTTGGGTTAGTGCCACCCAGGGCGGGTCAAAATCTTTTACCCATGCCATTGGCTGAAAGTGCCACCCCTTCATAGATAGAAAAGAGTGCCGCCAGGGGCAGACTGGCCACTCCCCACCCCCTTCCTACATCACTGAGGGCGTCATTTTTTGGCAACCTGAGGAGTTTTTTTTCATCAAAGGGTTGAGCTACAAAAACCTTGGCTGCACCACTGACCAAGGTAGCTATTGCGTCTAGGATTGTAATGTGCCTAGGTTTGTGATGAGCCTAGGATTGTGGTGTGAATAGGATTGTGATGTGAATAGGATTGTGATGTGCCAAGATTGTGATGTGCCTAGGATTGTGATGTGCCTAGGTTTGTGATGTGCCTAGGATTGTGATGTGAAAAGGATTGTGATGTGAAAAGGATTGTGATGTGAAAAGGATTGTGATGTGCCTAAGATTGTGATGTGAAAAGGATTGTGATGTGCCTAGGATTGTGATGTGAAAAGGATTGTGATGTGAATAGGATTGTGATGTGAATTGGATTGTGATGTGAATAGGATTGTGACGTGCCTAGGATTGTGATGTGCCTAGGTTTGTGATGTGCCTAGGATTGTGATGTGAAAAGGATTGTGATGTGAAAAGGATTGTGATGTGCCTAGGATTGTGATGTGAAAAGGATTGTGATGTGCCTAGGATTGTGATGTGAAAAGGATTGTGATGTGAAAAGGATTGTGATGTGTCTAAGATTGTGATGTGAAAAGGATTGTGATGTGAAAAGGATTGTGATGTGCCTAGGATTGTGATGTGAAAAGAATTGTGGTGTGCCTAGGATTGTGATGTGAAAAGGATTGTGATGTGAAAAGGATTGTGATGTGCCTAGGATTGTGATGTGAAAAGAATTGTGGTGTGCCTAGGATTGTGATGTGAAAAGGATTGTGATGTGCCTAGGATTGTGATGTGAAAAGAATTGTGGTGTGCCTAGGATTGTGATGTGAAAAGGATTGTGATGTGCCTAGGATTGTGATGTGAATAGTATTGTGATGTGCCTAGGATTGTGATGTGAATAGTATTTTGATGTGCCTAGAAATGTGATGTGCCTAGTATTGTGATGTGAAAAGGATTGTGATGTGCCTAGGATTGTGATGTGCCTAGAATTGTGATGTGAATAGTATTTTGATGTGCCTAGGATTGTGATGTGAAAAGGATTGTAATGTGCTTAGGATTGTGATGTGCCTAGGATTGTGATGTACCTACAGTTGTGATGTGAATATGAGGATTGTGATGTGAATAGGATTGTGATGTACCTAGGATTGGAATGTTTATTATTTTGAATAGCTAATAATGAGCCCAATGTAATTTTTTTTAGTGTTCTGTTTTAGTAACTACCAGAAGCAACCTGATGATTATAACTTGTGTTGCAATCTTGACAAATTTTAATGTGTAAACACAAATTTATCTTTTTAAATCTCCATTTTAGGTATGAAGGCCAAACATGTGATGTACCTAATGCACCATTCAAGCATGGTCGATGCGGAGATGGCCTGGAGTGTAGGACAACCAGTACAGGAAGTTTGTGCCAATGCGTGTGGGAAGAAATTATTTGTGGCAGTGATGGAGTGACCTACAAGTGAGTGATTCACATTACTGATTAAATTAGAATGCCAGACTTATCACAATTCTCAAAGGCATTTATTTTAGTTTCACTTGACACATTAATTTACCTAATCAAAATTAGAATCTAATAAAGAGGCACCCAATTACGATGCTACAACTATAGTAATTATAGCTGGTTGACTTTTGTTCTCCCGTGATTTAATGTTAAATGAATGTTATATCTGTTTAACTGCAGTAATCTTTGTCAGCTGATCGCTGCTGCTGTACGTGAAAACAAACATGACCAGCTTGAGGTTAAATCTGTTGGACCATGTGAACCAGGTAGTGAGACATTAATTACTGGATAATGTATTACATCTACTTTTACAAAGGAGGAAACAAATTAAAAAGCTACGTAGTTTGCTTAATTTTTTTATGGAGGATACATAAAGTATTGACATATGTTATTTTTAGTCAAATGAAAAGAAAAACACATTAATGTTTTCTCATAAATTTATTTGAAACATTTGGTCTATCTGATGCAGTATCTTAATGTGAAAATTGAAACATTTTTGATTGAAAGCTTTACTTAAGTGTAAAATGCAAAATACATTTTTATCATTTTTTCCATGAATAAAATTTTAATGTAATTTAAAAAAATATATATAAAATAATTAAGAGAAATACTTCTATGATATTTCAAATTTTAAAAAATTAGTTTAGACATTCAATGATAAATATATAACATGTTAGAAATCTGAAGAGTAAGTTTGTAAACTTCACAGGTGCCAAAATTGTGACCAAGCCAGAATATGTTCGCAACCCAGCTATGGATAATGTAACTCTTGCTTGTGAGGCCATAGGATACCCCACCCCCATTATTCGATGGACCGTCACTAAAGCTAATGGAAAAACTTATGACATGCCAGGTATATGAGGTTTCTATTAACATATATTCTGCATTTATGTACTAAGCTTAGCTTTCAGTTTTCTCTGTACCAATTAGGTGTTTTTGCTTGAATATACACGTTTTATTTTGCTGCTTAGGTGATGATAACCACATTGTGATTGCCTCAAGGGGTGGACCAGGAAAATACCAGGTGACAGGATGGCTTCAGATTGAGAGTTTAATGAAGCGTCATGAAGGGGACTACACTTGTATTGCACACAATCAGCTCAATGAAGATAAAGCTAAGGCTAGGATCAAAGTTATTAATTAAAAAAAGGTGACCATATTTGTATTTAGATAACCCAGTGGTCGGCAAATTGTGGTTCATGAGCCGCGTGGAGCTCTTTAGTGACCTAATTATGGCTCACAAAGAGATTTTAACTCCAAAGAAACATGGTTTTTGACAAGTTCTTGAAAAGAAATTTGGCTCTCAAAATTTTTTAATCATCCTGCTGCTGATTTTTGGCTCTTTTGACTAATGACTTTGCCGACCATTGAGATAAACTGAAGTTTGTTTAGACACCTTAATGATTAAAATTATTCATAAGATTTTATTTATTTTGGTCCCATATGAATAAAACACTCTGCTCACCTGAATGCTAAAAGACTAAAAAAAATTTTTTACTCCCATTATCAAATATCTTATAATCAAAATTGATCACCACATGATGAGGTCAACTCTCATGAAAAAAAAACATTTTAAAATAAATTGTTCATCAAGAATTTAATCATATTGTAAAGATATAACTCAGAGGTAAGTCAACATTTAAAATAGTTTTTGTAACTAAGATTTCATTTTCCCCCCTTAAATGTTTTTTTTTTAAAGATCATTTTATGGCTGCGACTATTCGTACCCGGGTAACAAAAGTGAGAGGTTGGGATTAAAAAACTATTTAAAATTTTATTATTGTTGGGTTTATTAAACAAAATGAGGTATCAAATGAAAGATAATTGAATGGACTATATGTTTGTAAACTTACTTCTTCAGTTTAACTAAAACAAACTAACACAAATGACATCCGAATAGCTCGAGTCTAATGGTATCCGGGTGCGAATGGCGGCGCCGTGTGTCTGGGTCCATTTTGAATCAGTGCTATTTAAATGTCATTTGTGGTAGTTTATTTTAGTTAAATTTAAGAATTAAGTTTACAAACATATAGTTCATTCAATTATCTTTCATTTGATACCTCATTTGGTATTACAAACTCAACAATAAAATTTTAAATAACTTTTTAATCCCAACCTCTCACTTCTGGTACCCGGGTACGAATAGCCACTTGGTCATTTTATTGAAACCTTATAGCATTTTAATCATTTGAACACAAAGAAATATTTTTAAGACTATTATTTAATATTTTTTCTTAAATTATTTAGATTGGAATATATCTTGACAGCTTCATCCACTGCATCACAAGACAAAGTTAGAGAGCATATCATGAAGTTTCAATGGTCAAGTTTTACCTCTTTTACTCGGTGCTAAAAAAAAATGTAGATATATACTACTGAAATATGGTGCTACTTTTACTTATCATATACAAATGCCTTAGCAAGTGTTTACTATTGAAACTTTTTTTTGTATTTTTATGCTTTAAATTTTGTGCTTCTCTATAAAATAATTTAAACATATATTTTTTAAGGCTTTGAAATTGAACTACCGGTACCCCTTATAAATGCAATTTCTAACAAGTAACAGTTGAACTGTATATTAACTAAATATTTTTATGGTAGAAATATTTAAATTCCTTCCAATATATTTGAATTTCAATGTATAATTTAACTTAATACCATTAAACTTAAATATTATCCTTCAATTGTTCCTTTCATGATGTAAATGCACGTAGGGCCTACTATAAATCTCCATCATTATCAGTACCATTTGTCAAAAGATAAATAAATAAAATTAAATAGAACTCATAAAAAAGATATTCATGAAATATCATATTGTGGATAAAAAAGTGATTGTTGTTCTGTACATTTTTCCTTCTTTGTATGTATAAATAAAAGCACTGCTGTTGGTTTACCTTGCTGTGCATTTCCACACGTGCCAAAGTTTTCTTGATGTAGATTTCACAAGATAGATTTTAATAGATTATAGATATAGTATTATGTTGGTATCTTGCCCAATAATTTGCAAAATTGTTGAAAAATTTCATTATGTAAGAAAGAAACATTTTGATACAGCATCTGAAACTACCCTTTAATATTTATTTTTACCATGAAAATATTAATACAACAGATTAAGCAGCTAATTAATAATTTTGAGAGTTTGGAAAGGGAGGGTAATTTTCTAATAAGTAAGGGTTTTATTTTAGCCTTCCAGCATTGTCTCTTGAATTATAAGAAATTTTTTATATTCTTAAGGTTAATTTAATTTTTGAACAGGTTTTGCTTGAGAGGAGCTTTCAGCATATGTTTCCTTTTTTATTTGTATTTGTAAACTGTGATGTTTTTTGTATTTTAACTTTGAATGTGGTAACATTTTCTTTTTAAGTAAAATAAGTTGCTACATGGCAGGTTAACAACGAATTCAAATGTCTTCCAGACTGAGTCAAAACTTCATAAATTTGTTGTAATAATTGTATTTGATATTGACATGGTATCAAAATTGTAAGTTTTTTTTCTCCAAAATAATAAAAAAGTGAGTGCAGTTTTAGTCTTTTCATTCTTAAGTGTTCTAATAATAATTTTGATAATGAGTTTTATTGACACATAAATATAGGCTACTCAGGCTTTTCAACTATCCATGTTGAATGCTTACTATGTAAATTGTTCTATGAAGTTATGAAATACAGCAATGGTACTCAATTTGGTTGTACATTATTAGCCTGCAACAGTCTGCAAGCCCTGCAAAATAACAACTCATAAATTAGGTACAAGTTCCTGGTGTAATGTGAATCATTCCTTAAACTAGAGGTTAAGACAAGGGACAAAATTACTAGAAAGTAACTTTCTTTGCATATCTCAAAACTAAGAAAAATGAAAAGATTGTGGAAAACTTTGAGAAATTATGTTCAGGTGGCTGAAGTTAAAAGAACTGTTTTGACTGATCTCAGCTAGTTTAAAGGAAAGTGTCAGCACTGAAAAAAAAGATGGGAAAAAAAAAGATATTAAAAAAAAGAATATGAGGAGCCTACTCAATTAAGTTGTTTTATAAGAATTTTTTTTAAAATTATCAACAAAAATTATTGCTATGACATCTTACAAAGAAAAATAAATGCTTCATAATTAATTTTTTTTAAATATGTATGATAAGTACTGTATACCAGCACCTTCAGATCTGATTTTTTTTTTCTACAAATAATCTTTTACTGCTAAAGTCTGGGTGTTAAGTAACAGCAGTTAAAAAATAAAAGCCATCATTCATGAAATTTCAAGCTGTGGAAACGTAAAAATAAACACAATTCTACTATAAAATAATCCCCCCCCCCCCCCCCAATCAAAATGAATTTTTAAATGGTACATCAGGAAGTCATCTATTTCATTTCTTTTTTTAAAACTACACGGATTATGAGTTCCAAGCTTTCGAAAGTTACATAAAATCAACCATCCCCCAAATTATTTAGTGAAAAATTGTCCCTAAAATAATATAATCATAATTGTTGTTTTAGTCATTTATAACGCTACTCGAAAAGAAAAATTGTCTGCCTGTATTTCTATGTGAACTGAGGTGTTAAAACTCAACAAATATCACCGATGTCTGCAATCTACAATTCCTAAGGGAGCTTAAATATGTACTGCAAATGAAAATAATCCCCCCCCCCCATTTTTTTTCCAGTGGAACTCGAAAAGGTACCGCTAATAAATCATAAATTAATTCAGCGGTTCTTAACCTGTGGGTCAAGACACCTTTGAGCAGGCCTGCACAACTCAAAATGTAGGGCGGGCCGTAATACTTTATGAAAAACGTGTGCGGGCGAAAAGAAAATAGGACAGTGGGGAAAAGCTATTAAGAAAATAATACGAATAAAAAAATATTTCGTTACTGTTACTTGGCAGGCCGCAAAGTGGGTGCTGGCGGGCCACATACGGGTCGTATGTTGTGCAGGCCTGCCTTTGAGGGTCGAGCGGCCTTTTCACAGGAGTCGTCTAAGACCATCGGAAAACACATATAGGCCTACTCTTCAGTTAAGATGTAGTGCTTAATTTAGTTGTTTTTTTTAAATATATATGGCAATATTTCAAAATTATATTCAGTTTGTCATGTTAGTGTTCTAAGTGAAAAGCTGTGTTATTACGGAAACAAAGCATATTTGGCAAACATTGAATTCTGGTGAATAACGCATTCGCATCCAATGCGCAGTGGATATGTTGTGCTTTCCCATTGGTCCGTTATAATCTCTTGGCCTTGACTTTTGATTTTCATGCACCTTCCTGGAGTTTTTTTCAGCACCACGATATGAAACCGTTGTTGCTGACACTGCCCGGCAGGACCACCAACAACTGTGTGAACGAAATCAAAGATAAACAATTCACTTCTGCCTATTATAATGTCTGTACTAACAACTACTTTGAAAAGAAGGTAGCATTTTATTTCACGACATTGAATTATTTATGGAATGTCAACAGGATTAGACTTGAGACCAACATTAGTAAGTTCTAGGATTGCAGAGAAATGAAGTGAAAGCCTTTCAAATAAATGTTATTGGAAGAACTGAATATTTGGTATGCTATTGGAGATAGCACCTTGACGTCATTTGCGTGTTTTGTCCCTGGTTCCGATAGGGTCAAAACCCTGGTCCCGATAGGGTCAAAACCCAGATTAGGGATACGTTTAGGGTTCAGGCTAGGTTCAGGGATACATTTAAGGACATAAGTTCGTGGGTCGCGGCAACCAAGATGGCGGCCACGGTGCTATCTCTCCAAATTTACCGCTTAGCCATATTTAGGATGATGAAGACGATAATCTAACACAAACATTAGTGGCGTACTTAGGTTGACCACCTCCCGGGGCGGGCCAAGATCGTTGCCGATACCTTCCAAAAATTCCGCCCCCTCCATATAAATTTTACAAATTGCCATCTGGGGGGGGGGGGGGGAATCCCCCTTCCACCCCCACTGCCCCCCATTCAAATGATTTAAAAAAAAAAAAAAGCAGCACACACAGAACACCATTTATAAAGGCACCTACTTTGTCCGGGCATGCACAGGCAACTGTTCTGGTACAAGGGATTACTGCTGCTCCCGCGACCACACACCTTCTCGGTGAGAAAACGTGGGAAGTAGCAGTTATCCAAGACGGTGGTGTGGACGCAGGTAGAGCACAAGCTGATGAAGTTGGTCTGGTTGATGAGCGCTCCCTGCTTCTGGCATTGTTCGCCGGAGATGGTGAAACCTTTTTTGAAACGATATTACTTCTTTATACAACTGGCAATTATTATCTTATGAAAATTTTAAAAAGAATTAAAACTACGAGCTAAAAAATATCAACACTTCACCCCTGGGACATTGAAAGTTTTCTCCTCTTGGAAAGATTCTAAAAGCTGAGTTTCAAATGATTTGATTGAGAAAATCAAACTCAAACATATGGGTGTAATTTTGATTTTCAATGTATAGGACATAGGACTTCATCAGCGTGATTCTTCTTGAGAAATGTAGCTCCAAATTTATGAATGATTAAACTACACGGCAACTAATGATTTCATGTCATGGTATCTCTAAAATTAATGATTGTGTTTGAAATTACCAATATTTAGAATTAAATTAGCGGTGATGTAGAAAAAAAAAAGTATAGGAAGGGAAGAAGTCAGGGTATATGTCAAACAGAAAGAAAGTACAAATTAGAATAAAAACTAATGAGATTGTAAAATTGTTGGTAATGTGTAGACCTACTTTAATTTAAACATTAAACAATCATACAATTTCCATTATCTCCCACCCATTAAAATAATTCATAGGGGGGGTTTGGGGGGGGGGGGGGGGGGGTAGAGGTCCATTAATTTCTGAAAGTGCGTTCTTGTATTTTGTATAATACTATTCGTTTTATGCCCTGTTTCAGCCACTCCCCCCCCCCCGCCTAAATTCCCCAACATTTTTGACGAAAATTTTTTTGTATTAATAATTACTTTTTCTAATTTCTTTTTACCTGAAGCATTACGTTTAGTTCTCCGTCTCAGATTATGCCAATCTGTCCAAGTGTCTAACATAGGATCATGTATTGGTCTAGTAACGTTAGCCAAAATGAGCATGTCTTCGAACTGAGTGAGATTTGACGCCAGAACATCAAATAGTTCCATGATGTCGGAAATGTTTGCATTTATGAGTTGAACTGGAAGAACACCTGTGTAATTCCATACTGATCTATTAATGGAACTTTGAGTGTTCCAATTTTGTGTTGACATGTCATAACCGTTAACACCGATGCTGCCCGTTGTCGCGACATCATCATGTATGTCTACCCCAGTTCTCAATTTCTCGTATGATGCGTAGGCCTCGGATTGCGTGGTTTGGTTGTGTTCTTTAAGTAGTTCCAGCATTTTGAAAAAATCGTGTTCGAATGATGACAACGCCTGCAAAAAACTCAATGTTGCATTCAGAAGACATTGATGAAGATGTATTATATTTTCTGATGTCCCTTGAACGACCTTAACTTTATTCAACAAATCATCTATGACGTCATCTGAAATAATAGAATTGTCGCTAGTAATATTAATTGCCATGTAGTCAGATACACCCTCTGTACTGTACCGGATGCCTCCGCCAGTGACCTGCTCGGCGGGCGTGTTAACATCCGAAGAAATCAAAGCTTCTTCAAGTTGAAAGTTGATTGAGTTCATTTTAGAAATCTCAGAGACCAGTACAAAACATGTATTAAAAACTATCGGCTGAGAGGAGATGTTCCCAGCCGGTGATGTCACGTTGGAGGGGCAGATGTTTACCGTAAAGCTGTTGTTGAGAGCTTCTAGCAACGAGACGCCCAGCGCCAAGATTGTGCTGATGCGGCCGTAGGAGAGATACTGCTGAATGTTGTGTCGCAGTTGGTTCTGATGCTGGTTGTGGTTGACAAGGAGCGACTCTAAGTTTGTGATGAGTTCAGCTTTGTCGTGGTTCATCTGTTTGCCAGAAGATACAAATATGAGACTTTTAGTATGTAAATAAACTTAATCAGTGTAAAGCAAACACAAACAACGACATGAGAGTAAAGTGACGGGTCAAGAGCAGTCTCTCCAGTAGAGATTCGAAAATACCGTAACCAAAATAATAGTAAATCATAAACCAAACAAAAATACAGTGGCGTAGCGAGGCAGGTGCGGGGGGTGCGGACCGCACCGGGTGACACCATTTTAGGGGTGACACCCGATTGAAAAATTGCATATTTACAGGGCACACATTGCTCGCAAAAATCGAGATTCATAAAAGAATAACCGATCACACATATATTTTTCACAAATGTAACCAATCCAAATGCGTGCTTTATTAAAAGTTCTGTGGCGTACTTAGGTTGACCCCCCCCCGGGGGGGGCCAAGATCCTTGCCGATACCTTCCAAAAATTCCCCCCCCCCCATAAAAATTTTACAAATTGCCCTCTGGGGGGGGGGGTGGAATCCCCCTTCCACCGCCACTGCCACCCATTCAAATGATTTAAAAAAAAAAAAAAGCAGCACACACAGAACACCATTTATAAAGGCACCTACTTTGTCCGGGCATGCACAGGCAACTGTTCTGGTACAAGGGATTACTGCTGCTCCCGCGACCACACACCTTCTCGGTGAGAAAACGTGGGAAGTAGCAGTTATCCAAGACGGTGGTGTGGACGCAGGTAGAGCACAAGCTGATGAAGTTGGTCTGGTTGATGAGCGCTCCCTGCTTCTGGCATTGTTCGCCGGAGATGGTGAAACCTTTTTTGAAACGATATTACTTCTTTATACAACTGGCAATTATTATCTTATGAAAATTTTAAAAAGAATTAAAACTACGAGCTAAAAAATATCAACACTTCACCCCTGGGACATTGAAAGTTTTCTCCTCTTGGAAAGATTCTAAAAGCTGAGTTTCAAATGATTTGATTGAGAAAATCAAACTCAAACATATGGGTGTAATTTTGATTTTCAATGTATAGGACATAGGACTTCATCAGCGTGATTCTTCTTGAGAAATGTAGCTCCAAATTTATGAATGATTAAACTACACGGCAACTAATGATTTCATGTCATGGTATCTCTAAAATTAATGATTGTGTTTGAAATTACCAATATTTAGAATTAAATTAGCGGTGATGTAGAAAAAAAAAAGTATAGGAAGGGAAGAAGTCAGGGTATATGTCAAACAGAAAGAAAGTACAAATTAGAATAAAAACTAATGAGATTGTAAAATTGTTGGTAATGTGTAGACCTACTTTAATTTAAACATTAAACAATCATACAATTTCCATTATCTCCCACCCATTAAAATAATTCATAGGGGTGGTTTGGGGGGGGGGGAGGGGGGGTAGAGGTCCATTAATTTCTGAAAGTGCGTTCTTGTATTTTGTATAATACTATTCGTTTTATGCCCTGTTTCAGCCACTCCCCCCCCCCCCCCCTAAATTCCCCCACCTTTTGTCCGAAAATTTTTTTNTTCGAACTGAGTGAGATTTGACGCCAGAACATCAAATAGTTCCATGATGTCGGAAATGTTTGCATTTATGAGTTGAACTGGAAGAACACCTGTGTAATTCCATACTGATCTATTAATGGAACTTTGAGTGTTCCAATTTTGTGTTGACATGTCATAACCGTTAACACCGATGCTGCCCGTTGTCGCGACATCATCATGTATGTCTACCCCAGTTCTCAATTTCTCGTATGATGCGTAGGCCTCGGATTGCGTGGTTTGGTTGTGTTCTTTAAGTAGTTCCAGCATTTTGAAAAAATCGTGTTCGAATGATGACAACGCCTGCAAAAAACTCAATGTTGCATTCAGAAGACATTGATGAAGATGTATTATATTTTCTGATGTCCCTTGAACGACCTTAACTTTATTCAACAAATCATCTATGACGTCATCTGAAATAATAGAATTGTCGCTAGTAATATTAATTGCCATGTAGTCAGATACACCCTCTGTACTGTACCGGATGCCTCCGCCAGTGACCTGCTCGGCGGGCGTGTTAACATCCGAAGAAATCAAAGCTTCTTCAAGTTGAAAGTTGATTGAGTTCATTTTAGAAATCTCAGAGACCAGTACAAAACATGTATTAAAAACTATCGGCTGAGAGGAGATGTTCCCAGCCGGTGATGTCACGTTGGAGGGGCAGATGTTTACCGTAAAGCTGTTGTTGAGAGCTTCTAGCAACGAGACGCCCAGCGCCAAGATTGTGCTGATGCGGCCGTAGGAGAGATACTGCTGAATGTTGTGTCGCAGTTGGTTCTGATGCTGGTTGTGGTTGACAAGGAGCGACTCTAAGTTTGTGATGAGTTCAGCTTTGTCGTGGTTCATCTGTTTGCCAGAAGATACAAATATGAGACTTTTAGTATGTAAATAAACTTAATCAGTGTAAAGCAAACACAAACAACGACATGAGAGTAAAGTGACGGGTCAAGAGCAGTCTCTCCAGTAGAGATTCGAAAATACCGTAACCAAAATAATAGTAAATCATAAACCAAACAAAAATACAGTGGCGTAGCGAGGCAGGTGCGGGGGGTGCGGACCGCACCGGGTGACACCATTTTAGGGGTGACACCCGATTGAAAAATTGCATATTTACAGGGCACACATTGCTCGCAAAAATCGAGATTCATAAAAGAATAACCGATCACACATATATTTTTCACAAATGTAACCAATCCAAATGCGTGCCTTATTAAAAGTTCAAAGTTGATGCTATACTGTGGACTTATTTTAACAAAGAAAAAATCGATCATAGAAGTTTGGGGGGGGGGGTGGCACCATGAGTTTACCGCACCGGGTGACACCAACCCTAGCTACGCCACTGCAAAAATACATTGTATTTGTTTCTGAGCAATTCGGACCAAATCTTTGGCACATTACTCCGTGGGGTGCTATACCTAAAGACGCTACTGTCTTCCCTTACCCAAGCCGAGTTCTCGATGTTGTGGAGCTCGTACCCGTGGAGGTGCTGAGGGGGCACAGCCGAGACTATGTCACCTATGAAGCCACCGCCTTCGTTCCTAAGCAGCTGAGCCAGGTTTTGGACGGTTAGGTTGGCTCTCCGAAGTTTCATGTCATCATCGCTGTGGCCACTATCGTCGTCGTCATGGCATGGGATGTTTCTCTGGACGACCGTCGGACTGTCCTCGTAGCACAGAACTCCGGCTAAAAAAGAGAGAAGAAAATGGAAGTTGGGAAAATAATTTTAATATGAAAAAGGTAAATAAACGGATTTATTAAGGCTAATCAGTGCAGACGAAACACTGATACGAATTTAGGGGGTGGGGGAGATTTTAGGACGTAAATATACCATACCGACCCCCTGGGAAAGTCGTCTGCTGACGCTGGGAGAGCAGCCTCATCGGCCGACCGGATGTCCTTGGGCTGGGGCGGCCTCCGTTGGTACCCGATCGAGTGGGTGCAGCTGGGGCTGTCCTTGCCAAGGGAGATCTTCAACTCGGGATTAAGTGTGTGTGGGGGGGGGGGGGGCGATGCTTTAGGTAGGGGATAAAGAGCTTGGTACTAGCTCCACGGTCCGCTGACGCCATTTCCTAATTTCAGTACGAATTTACTCCACGTATACGACTCCGATATCCTGCGTCATGCAGCGCGAATTTTCTCTCCCTTTAAATGGCATTAAAAGTCCATTTATTAAACTTTAATTACCCCCTCTCTAACAGTCGCTAACAAAACTCGCTGACTAGTAGCGCGTAGTAATATTTGACAACGTTCAAATGGAAACCACTAATAAATTTAGAATTAATTGCCCTCTCCGTATGTAGGTCATACTTAACTTGTTCACCATACATATGACGATATATATATATATGTAATTGTTGAATTACCTGAGACTGGGCTGACTTGTTGATACCCGTTACTTCCAGTGCCGACGATGCCACCTAGGCCGGGCCCTTGAGTGTCATGAAAAGCCTGCCCAAACAAACCCAATCCAACGCCTCCTCCGTGGTGCGAGGGTGCCGTCGATACCCCCCTAGGGGTGGTGGTTGTCGTTGGGCCCCCGGAGCCACGACCGCCGGGGAGAATGGTGATGGTGCTGTTGGCCAGCCCGATATTGTACGTCTGGTCAACGTGCTGGCTGTCGGGGGTCACCGGTCGCTCCGTGATGGACGGAAGCTGAAGTTTCGATAAGATGAGCTGCAAGATGGCGTCGCTATAACTTCTCTGAGTGGTGCCGGCAACTTCAGCACGAGGGGAGGTGCTGGATTGGGGGTTGGGGGTGGGTGGCATTGTGGGATTTGGGAAGGGTGTAGCTAACACTGCCTTGTTCGGTCCTTGCATTTGCTGATGGGGATGTTCTTGAAGCCATGGCGGACTTTGAGTACCTGGGCCACTGACTGCAGCTGGACAAAGAAAAAAATATGTTATTTATGTTTTCTCTTTTCCCTAAATCCCCCCCCCCTTTTTTTTCGGTGATAATCTCATGTCGTCTGCTCATGAATGAAACTATTGAGATATACATTGTAAAACAAGCATTAATTTTTCGTTGATATTTTATATTAATTAAAAATTTNCATGGCGGACTTTGAGTACCTGGGCCACTGACTGCCGCTGGACAAAGAAAAAAATATGTTATTTATGTTTTCTCTTTTCCCTAAATCCCCCCCCCCCTTTTTTTTCGGTGATAATCTCATGTCGTCTGCTCATGAATGAAACTATTGAGATATACATTGTAAAACAAGCATTAATTCTTCGTTGATATTTTATATTAATTAACAATTTACCCTTTATATATTAGATCAGGATGTCCAAACCTGGGGTGCTCATATCCCCAGGGCCTGTGAGGTGGAATTTTAAGGGATGCGAGGAATAAAATGTTATAAAAAAGAGGGACCTTCGATTTTTAAGAATTTTAAGTTTGTTTTTTTTTTGTTTTTTTTTCATTTCCTTCATTAACATTTTACTTTGTGTAATTAGGTCACACTTTTTTTTCTCTTAGTTTATTTTTCCTGTGAGAAGTGCAGCCTAGGCTACCGTTCCGGGATCAGCCTCGTCAGCCATTTGACGTGTCTATAGCTGCTCCATCGTCATCCGAAGACGGAAGGATGCCATATAGTTTCTAAGGTGTGTGGTTCTCATTGTAATGCATTAGATTTCCAATCCTTCCCCTCCATTTTCTTTTTTTTTTAAATCCATTGTTACTTTTGTAAGGGTGCGAGACTATCTCAAAAGAAAAGTACGGTGGTGCAGACTATAGAGAAGGTTGAGAAAGCCTTTTTATAATTAGTTGAGAAAGCCTGCAGCCCTGCATTGGATTGCATGCATTATGGCAGGCCTTCACAACATACGACCCCACCTCGACAAACGTCCTTTGAAATAATATTTAAAAACGTTGATCTTGTAAGAATGATTGATTTATTTTTTCTAAACATCCATTGTCAGAAATTTGAAAGGAAAAGATTTGCAAAATTAATAATGACTTTTCTAATGTCTATCTTAATTAGAAATTGTGGAATTTTCTACACTGTTGTTAAACGCACCCACTGCCATCTCTTCTTTGGCTTCCATTTCCAGTTATGTTTTTAATTAGAAATTGTGGAATTTTTTTCACTGTTGTTAAACCCACCCCCCCCCCCTTTTTTTTTTCTTTTCGTCTTTAGACTAAGCTGTGAACCAAATTTTTGCTCGGTAGCTCCCCCCTCCCCCCCCCCAACCACACCCCAACAAATGTAGTTTTGTATATAAGTTACTGCACCTCATTATTTATTAACTTTGGTAAATCCACCCCTAAGCTATGATAAATGTTAAAGTTAAAAGTATGCAATGTTTAATACTTACCAACGGGAAAAACGAAAGTGACGCAACCAATGAAAATGGCGAAAAGCCCAGCTCGGACTGCTCTAAAGGTTGACATGTTTGAACACGTGGTCTGAGGAGCTCGGCAACAGCAACCGGGAGTCCTTGGTAACGTCCAGGCAGAGATGATCGGACACCCTTTTAAGCTTAGCCTCCAAACACAAGCTCGGACACTTGGTGCAGTGTTTATATAATCATCAGCTTTGACGTCACACCGAGGACTGTTTTTAAAATTATGAAATTATGACGTCATAGTGAACGATTTTTATTTACGCGGGGGAAGGGGTGGACCTAAACAAAGATAAGAAAATAATAACGATTCGTAATCGCCTGCGCGAAATTTTTTGAGTAGAAAATTATTTAATGACGTTCAAATATTAGCAAAGATGGTCAGATCGAACGTACTTGAACAAGGTTTGATGTCTTGAAAAGGTCATTTAAAGCAGTGCTTCTCAAATTGTTAACTTAACAGTAGGCCTACCTTTCTTTTGCGTTCAGTCCTCTTCCATGCACTGGCGTAGTAAGGGAGGGGGGGGGGCGGCCCAATCCTCTCGCGGCAATTTTTACTTCTATATATTGAAGTTTAGCATTTTTGGCCAACTGCAGAGTTTATTTTATGCGGGGAGATGGGAGATTTACCGCACTGCCACGATGTGACTTTCCAGTTTGTTGTATTCATTCAAACAAATCTAAAATATACTTTTCTTTGATATGAAATCTAAAATTATACTAGTCTTTGATATGAAATCTAAAATGTACTTGTCTTTGATATGCTATCTAAAATATATTTGTCTTTGATATGAAATCTAAAATGATACGTCTCTATCAAAAATGTAATTGTCTTTGATATGCCATCTAAAATATACTTGTCTTTGAAATAAAATCTAAAATATACCTGTCTTTGATATGAAATCTAAAATGTACTTGTCTTTGATATGCTATCTAAAATATACTTGTCTATCGAAAATGTAATTGTCTTTGATATGCCATCTAAAATATACTTGTCTTTGAAATGAAATCTAAAATATACTTGTCTTTGATATGAAATCTAAAATATAATAGTCTTTCATATGCTATCTAAAATATACTAGTCTTTGATATGAAATCTAAAATATACTAGTCTTTGATATGCTATCTAAAATATACTTGTCTTTGGTATGAACTCTAAAATATACTTGTCTTTCATATGAAATCTAAAATATTTTTGTCTTTGACATGAAATCTAAAATGTACTAGTCTTTGATATGATATCTAAAATGTACTTGTCTTTGATATGAAATCTAAAATATACTAGTCTTTGATATGCTATCTAAAATATACTAGTCTTTGATATGCTATCTAAAATATACTTGTCTTTGATATGAAATCTATAATATACACGTCTTTGATATGATATCTAAAATGTACTTGTCTTTGATATGACATCTAAAATAGGCCTGTACATGTCTTTGATATGAAATCTAAAACATACATGTCTTTGATATGAAATCTAAAACATACATGTCTTTGATATGAAATCTAAAACATACATGTCTTTGATATGAAATCTAAAACATACATGTCTTTGATATGAAATCTAAAACATACATGTCTTTGATATGAAATCTAAAACATACATGTCTTTGATATGAAATCTAAAACATACATGTCTTTGATATGAAATCTAAAACATACATGTCTTTGATATGAAATCTAAAACATACATGTCTTTGATATGAAATCTAAAACATACATATCTTTGATATGAAATCTAAAACATACATGTGTTTGATATGAAATCTAAAACATACATGCCTTTGATATGAAATCTAAAACATACATGTCTTTGATATGAAATCTAAAACATACATGTCTTTGATATGAAATCCCCGATTGGCTGCAGCTAATTTCTTACTTAACTTCTTAATTTCTTTCAATAATTTTTTTTTTAAATTTAATTTCTTATTTAATGAGTGCCCCTCCCACTCACACAGGTTCTCAAACTACCGTTTACTCTCCATCACAACAAACGTTTGTCCCTTGCAATATGTCATTTTGACAAACAATTTTTCTTTTAAATATCTTTTTTTTAAACCTATCCATATTTGAAAAGGTTAACGCGCGCGTTTAACTCTTCTCTCATGATTTATGCTTGAATTCGATGCGGATTTTTTTTTTTTTTTAATGCTCTCAAAACTGGACCATGAAATTATTGGCTTATTTTTTTTCTTCATCTCATTCTTTGACATGTGATAAAATGGACCGTGGAATACAGACAGGGTTATATCATAAATT